TATATGCTTTCCATGTGATTCTACTTTGATCCATTCTCTCTAAATGACCAAACAACCTCAACAACCCCTCTTCTGCCCTCTGACTAATGCTTTTATTAACTCCACACCTTCTCCTAATTTCCACACTCCGAATTTTCTGCATAATATTTACACCACACATTGCCCTTAGACAGGACATCTCCACTGCCTCCAACCGTCTCCTTGCTGCTGCATTTACCACCCAAGCTTCACATCCATATAAGAGTGTTGGTACCACTATACTTTCATACATTCCCTTCTTTGCCTCCATAGATAGTGTTTTTTGACTCCACATATACCTCAAAGCACCACTCACCTTTTTTTCCTCATCAATTCTATGATTAACCTCATCCTTCATAAATCCATCCACCGACACGTCAACTCCCAAGTATCTGAAAACATTCACTTCTTCCATACTCCTCCTCCCCAATTTGATATCCAATTTTTCTTTATCTAAATCATTTGATACCCTCATCACCTTACTCTTTTCTATGTTCACTTTCAACTTTTTACCTTTACACACATTCCCAAACTCATCCACTAACCTTTGCAATTTTTCTTTAGAATCTCCCATAAGCACAGTATTATCAGCAAAAAGTAACTATCAATTCCCATTTTGAATTTGATTCCCCATAATTTAATCTCACCCCTCTCCCGAACACCCTAGCATTTACTTCTTTTACAACCCCATCTATAAATATATTAAACAACCATGGTGACATTACACTTCCCCTACCCACTCTGAAGCCTCCCTGCTCATCCGCAATCCTACATTCTGTCTTACCTCTAATTCTTTCAATTATAACCCTACTGTATACTTTTCCTGGTATACTCAGTAAACTTATTCCTCTATAATTTTTACAATCTCTTTTGTCCCCTTTCCCTTTATATAAAGGGATTATACATGCTCTCCGCCAATCCCTAGGTACCTTCCCCTCTTTCATACATTTATTAAACAAAAGTACCAACCACTCCAACACTATATCCCCCCCTGCTTTTAACATTTCTGTCATGATCCCATCAGTTCCAGCTGCTTTACCCCCTTTCATTCTACGTAATGCCTCACGTACCTCCACCTCACTTACATTCTGCTCTTCTTCACTCCTAAAAGATGGTATACCTCCCTGGCCAGTGCATGAGATTACTGCCTCCCTTTCTTCCTCAACATTTAAAAGCTCCTCAAAATATTCTCGCCATCTACCTAATACCTCCCTCTCCCCATCTACTAACTCCCCTACTCTGTTTTTAACTGATAAATCCATACTTTCCCTAGGCTTTCTTAACTTGTTTAACTCACTCCAAAATTTTTTCTTATTTTCATTAAAATTTCTTGACAGTGCCTCTCCCACTCTATCATCTGCTCTCCTTTTGCACTCTCTCACCAGTCTCTTCACTTTTCTTTTACTCTCCATATACTCTGCTCTTCTTATAACACTTCTGCTTTGTAAAAACCTCTCATAAGCTACCTTTTACTCTTTTATGACACCCTTTACTTCATCATTCCTCCAATCACTCCTCTTTCCTCCTGCCCCCACCCTCCTATAACCACAAGCTTCTGCCCTACATTCTAATACTACATTTTTAAAACTATTCCAACCCTCTTCAACCCCCCCACTACTCATCTTTGCACTAGACCACCTTTCTGCCAATAGTCGCTTATATCTCACACGAACTTACATGTACAAGCATATATATACACACCCCTCTGGGTTTTCTTCTATTTTCTTTCTAGTTCTTGTTCTTGTTTATATCCTCTTATCTCCATGGGGAAGTGGAACAGAATTCTTCCTCCGTAAGCCATGCGTGTTGTAAGAGGCGACTGAAATGCCGGGAGCAAGGGGCTAGTAACCCCTTCTCCTGTATATATTAGTAAATGTAAAAGGAGAAACTTTTGTTTTTTCTTTTTGGCCACCCCGCCTCAGTGGGATACGCCAGTGTGTTGAAAGACAGAAAGAATAATAAGAAAAGTTCCCTTAAATCATGGAAAACAAAGTCCACCCCTGACAGTGAGGTGATAAGATGAGATAACATTTGATAAGAGCTGACGTTTGATGAGCATACACGAGGGTGCAATGATAAGACTTGATAAGATAAGATTAGAGGTGACATTTGATGAGCATTGGCCCTCCCTTTGTTTTTGCTGGTACACAAACATGTCTGTCTATTTGTCTGTCTGTCAAGCTCCCTGTTTGTCTATCCATCTAGCTCTGTCTCAGAGAGAGCCACAAGACTGAGTCATCATGTTTACTCGTATCTTCAAGCAGAGTATAGCACTTTGTCTGGATTTTTTGGGTTATCCTAGGTAATTTATACTATGTATACTTGTATTTATGTGTACCTGTGAGACAGAGACAGACAAAGATAGACATAGACATGGACAAACTAACGGAGCTAGGCTGCCAGCAGACGAAAGGGTGTTGCACAAATGTTGCACATGGGTTATTATTGAGTTTTTTTTTATATTTCCTCGACCACTTATGGCCACATCCACCTCAAAGCCACTAAACTCAGGGTCAAAATTACTTTCCTCTTAAAATGGGAGAGTTAATACTACATAAAATCAGTGAATCCCAAGTGTTTGCCGTGTTGTTTGCTCTAGCTGGCGCTCATTTGAACTGGTGCTCCCACAAGGTACTAAGTGGTCCGAGAGTTTTTTAATACACTGAGTGTTATGACCCATTCTGTGCTGACAAGGCATCTCAGGCCAATTGTGCCATATTTGAAGGCAGGAAAAATAAAATGTTTATATACATTTGGGGCACTAGCGGTTAGAATGTATATGTATGTTTGGACCGTTTACGGGTTAATAGCGCACAAAATACGTGCTAAGGAGTAACTGGCAAAGTGGGGAGATGGATCTTTAACTTTCTAACCAATCGAACACAAAGAGTAGTGGCCAAGAGAGTTAAATCAGAAGCTGCAATAGTGAAAAGCTCCGTTCCACAAGGCACAGTACTTGCCCCCATCGTGTTTCTCACTCATCCTCATATCAGACATGGAGATGAAATCCACAGCACTGCGACATCCTTTGCAGGTGATACTGTGATCTGCATGAGTCTGTCATCTATTGAGGACACAGTTAACCTCCTTGAGGATAAACCAAGTTTTCCATTGGGCAACGGAAAACAATGTGATGTTCAGTGAAGGCAAATTCCAGCTACTCCATTATGGAAAACTGGAGGAGATAATAACTAGAACTGAGTATACTACAAACTCTGATCATACAATAGAGTGGAAAAATAATGTGAGGGGCCTGGGAGTGGAAATGTCTGAGGATCTCACTGTCAAGGATCACAATAGTGCCACAATCACAACTGCAGAGAAAATGATAGGATGGATAATGAGAACGTTCAGAACAAGAGATGCTAAGCCAGTGATAATCCTTTTCAAATCACTTGTTCTTTCTAGACTTGAATTTTGCTGTATATTGGTTTTAAAGACTTTGAGCTGAGGTGCACCAGTGATCTGGTACAATAAATTTCCAGGACAGATAGTGGCATGATCAGATTTAAAGTATTTGAGGTTAAGCAAGAAAGAATTGGGTTTGGAAGAGGTAGAGGCAGGAGTAGACAGAGTAGAGGCAGGTGTTGGCGGTAGAGGAGGAGTGGTAAGGGGGAAGGAAGTGGAAGACATTGAAGGCATCGTAAATTAGATATGGAAGCCAAATCAAGTGCTTGGAAGCACTTGACTTATACCCCTTGGAATGCAGGCAAGAGATATACATTATAATCTACACTTGGAAAATTCTAAAAGGAATGGTACCGAATCTGTACACAGAAATCACTCTCTACGAAAGTAAAAGACTGGCAGGCAGTGCAAAACACCCCCAATGAAAAGTAGGGGTGCCATTGGTACACTAAGAGAAAACGCCATAAGTGTTCGGGACCCAAGACTGTTCAACAGCCTCCCACCATGCAGAAGGGGAATTACCAATAGGCCCCTGGCTGCCTTCAAGAGGGAGCTAGACAGATACTTTAAAGTCAATGCTGGATCAGCTGGGCTGTGGATTGTACGTTAGATTACATGCGGCCAGTAGTAACAACCTGGTTGATCAGGCCCAGATCCACTGGAAGGGCTGGTCATAGACTGGGCCGAAGGAGCGTTGATCCCCGGAATACCCTCCAGGTAGTTTGGAGGGGGATCTGAACTGCACTATCAGTGTTTCTCTGGCAAGAAAGTGATAGAGTGAATGATGGTGAAAGTGTTTCTTATTTTTTGGGTAACCCTACCTTGGTGGGTGATGGCAAGTGTGTTTAAAAAAAAAAATTGCTAGCTTACAAACAAAACCTAACATATTCTATCTTGACCCTGAGTTTGAATATTCGAAGATGATTGGTTGAGGAGTTCTCGAGTTATGAACAAAACAAAATAAATTAGAGAAAGAAGAAGAAGAAGAAAAAGAAAAGAGTAATCAGGTTTCCTTTCTAAGGTACCCCTTTGGGAGTGCCTGTTTGTGATTTTTCAACATTTTTTTTTTTGGAGGGGGAAGGGGGCAAAAATCCCTGGAGTTTTTAAATTGTTGTGAGAAACCGGTAAAAGTTTTTAGTAATTGGTGCCTGTGAACAGTGTTGCAGCTATGGAAAGGGTAGGGGGTGGGTGCCTATTACTCCTAAAAATTCCCCGGATGCAAATACCTTTTTTTCCTCGGTGGCAGATTTTCAGTGTATTATATTAACTGGTGACAACAGAAGCATGATAGTTAAAGAAATTTTGCATGCATACTAAAAATCTTATTTTTAAAAATGATTATGATATTTTCAACATGAAGTTTTTAATCCCCATCTCCCTCATTTGAAACCTTGACTTAAGCTTCCCCCAGATTGAAATTCTGGCTATGACATGGCCTGTGAATTTAGAGTTCTGTGCCTTGAATTTGTAGAGAGCAACTAAGTGATTTAACTGATTTTTTGTGTGCACCAACTGACTAAAATAATTTTTCTTTTAAATCATGATTTGTTAATGGGTATTGTACTATGTTTCAGGTTTCCTCCACAGCTACGCAGCATGTGTCACTGCCTGTACCAAGTGCTTAGTAAGAGGTTTCCACAATTTCCACAAAATAATATAGGTGCTGTTGGAACGGTCATTTTCTTACGCTTCATCAACCCTGCTATAGGTTAGTAAATTTGACCAGCTTTTGTGTCATCATCTGTAAGTTTTTGAATTAATGAATTTCATACTTATGAGTTATTGATGATCAGCACGTATATAATATTAAAAGAATAAATTCTCAGTATTATTTAATTCTAAGGGAAACATTACATAATGTACTACATAATAAAACTCAGATATTGCTTCACCCCATACATAAGATGGGGGGGGGGGGGTATATTTTGAGGCTTCAGAGATGGGAGTAAATCTACAACTATTGCCAAAGTTTGGCAGAGTTGTAGGTTGGACAGTCACATGAGTGGAAGTGGTTGGGTTGAGTTGGATCTGCTTAACATGTGCCAGTAAGCTTATTGCAGAACTCTTGCTAATTTTTCATGATTTTACATGCAGTATTTTCATATCCTCTGCATCATCAGGGCTTAATTGTAAGGATACTGGAAATAATGTTTATATACAAATTCTAATAACCCTAGTAACCCCTTTTCCTGTAATAATTACTATAAAGAATAAGAAGAAGAAAATTTTCAAAGTGGGAAGTCTGAATGTGCGTGGATGTTGTGCGAATGATAAGAAAGAGATGATTGTGGAAGTTATGAATGAGAAGAAGCTGGATGTACTGGCTTTAAGTGAAAGAAAGCTGAAGGGGGTGGGAGAGTTTCAGTGGAGAGGAATAAATGGGATTAGGTCAGGGGTTTCAAATAGAGTTCGAGCTAAGGAAGGAGTAGCAATAATGTTGAAGGATAAGTTATGACAGGAAAACAGGGACTATAAATGTATTAATTCAAGGATTATGTGGAGTAAAATAAAGGTTGGATGTGAAAAGTGGGTTATAGTAAGTGTATATGCACCTGGAGAAGAGAGAAGTGTAGAGGAGAGAGAGAGAGATTTTGGGAAATGTTGAGTGAATGCATGGGGAGTTTTGAACCAAGTGTGAGAGTAATGGTGGTTGGGGATTTCAGTGCTAAAGTGGGCAAAAATGTTGTGGAGGAAGTAGTAGGTAAATTTGGGGTGCCAAGGGTAAATGAAAATGGAAAGCCTTTAATTGAGCTATGTGTAGAAAAAGGTTTGGTAATATGTAATACTTATTTTATGAAGGAGGGGTGTTAATGTTGCAGTTTAAAAACTGTAGTGTAAAGCACCCTTCTGGAAAGACAGTGATGGAGTGAATGATGGTGAAAGTTTTTCTTTTTCGGGCCACCCTGCCTTGGTGGGAATCAGCCAGTGCGCTAATAAAAAATAAAAAATATTTTATGAAAAAGAGGATAAATAAATACACAAGGTATGATATAGCACGTAATGAAAGTAGTTTGTTAGATTAGGAATTGGTGGATAAAAGGTTGATGGGTAGGTTCCAGGATGTACACGTTTATAGAGGGGCAACTGACATATCGGATCATTATTTAATTGTAGCTACCATTAAAGTAAGAGGTAGATGGGAAAAGAAGAAAATGGCAACAACAAGTAAGAAGGAGGTGAAAGTGTATAAACTACGGGAGGAGGAAGTTCGGGTGAGATATAAGCAAATATTGGCAGAAAGGTGGACTAGTGCAAGTATGAGTAGAGGGGGGGTTGAAGAGGGTTGGAATAGTTTTAAAAATGCAGTATTAGAATGTGGGGCAGAAGTTTGTGGTTGTAGGAGGGTGGGTGTAGGAGGAAAGAGGAGTGATTGGTGGAATGATGAAGTAAAGGGTGTGATAAAAGAGAAAAAGTTAGATTATGAGAGGTTTTTACAAAGCAGAAGTGTTATTAGAAGAGTAGAGTATATGGAGAGTAAAAGAAAGGTAAAGAGAGTAGTGAGAGAGTGCAAAAGGAGAGCAGATGATAGAGTGGGAGAGGCACTGTCAAGAAATTTTAATGAAAATAAGAAAAAATTTTGGAGTGAGTTAAACAAGTTAAGAAAGCCTAGGGAACAAATGGATTTGTCAGTTAAAAACAGAGTAGGGGAGTTAGTAGATGGGGAGATGGAGGTTTTGGGTAGATGACGAGAATATTTTGAGGAACTTTTAATTAAATGTTGATGAAGAAAGGGAGGCTGTAATTTCATGCACTGGCCAGTGAAGTATGCCATCTTTTAGGAGTGAAGAAGAACAGGATGTGAGTGTGGGGGAGGGGAGTGGGGCATTACGTAGAATGAAAGGAGGTAAAGCAGCTGGAACTGATGGGATCATGACAGAAATGTTAAAAGCCAGGGGGGATATAGTGTTGGAGTGGTTGGTATTTTTGTTTAATAAATGTATGAAAAAGGGGAAGGTACCTAGGGATTGATGGAGAGCATGTATAGTCCCTTTATATAAAGGAAAGGGGGACAAAAGAGATTGTAAAAATTATAGAGGAATAAGTTTACTGAGTATACCAGGAAAAGTGTATGGTAGGGTTATAATTGAAAGAATTAGAGGTACGACAGAATGTAGGATTGCGGATGAGCAAGGAGGTTTTAGAGTGGGTAGATGTGTAGATCAAGGGTTTACATTGAAGCATATATGCGAACAGTATTTAGATAAAGGTAGGGAAGTTTTTATTGCATTTGTGGATTTAGAAAAGGCATATGATAGAGTGGATAGGGGAGCAATGTGGCAGATGTTGCAAGTATATTGAATAGGTGGTAAGTTGCTTAATGCTGTAAAGAGTTTTTATGAAGATAGTGAGGCTCAGGTTAGGGTGTGTAGAAGAGAGGGAGAATACTTCCCGGTAAAAGTAGGTCTTAGACAGGGATGTGTGATGTCACCATGGTTGTTTAATATATTTATAGATGGGGTTGTAAAAGAAGTAAATGCTAGGGTGTTTGGGAGAAGGGTGGGATTAAATTATGGGGAATCAAATACAAAATGGGAATTGACACAGTTACTTTTTGCTGATGATACTGTGCTTATGGGAGATTCTAAAGAAAAATTGAAAAGGTTAGTGGACGAGTTTGGGAATGTGTGTAAAGGTAGAAAGTTGAAAGGGAACATAGAAAAGAGTAAGGTGATGAGGGTATCAAATGATTTAGATAAAGAAAAATTGGATGTCAAATTGGGGAGGAGGAGTATGGAAGAAGTGAAAGTTTTCAGATACTACTTGGGAGTTGACGTGTCGGCGGATGGATTTGTGTAGGATGAGGTTAATCATAGAATTGATGAAGGAAGAAAGGTGAGTGGTGCTTTGAGGTGTAAGTGGAGACAAAAAACGTTATCTATCTTTCTTTCAACAAACCGGCCGTATCCTACCGAGGCAGGGTGGCCGAAAAAGAAAAACAAAAGTTTCAATTTTTAAATTTAGTAATTTATACAAGAGAAGGGGGTTACTAGCCCCTTGCCCCCCGGCATTTTAGTCACCTCTTACAACACGCATGGCTAACGGAGGAAGAATTCTGTTCCACTTCCCTATATAGATAAGAGGAAATGAACAAGAAGAAGAACTAGTAAAAAAATAGAAGAAAACCCAGAGGGGTGTATATATATATGCTTGTACATGCATATACAGTGTGACCTAAGACACCGGCAATCTTGCCATCATGTAAAACAATTACAAGCTTTCATTTTACACTCACTTGGCAGGATGGTAGTACCTCCCTGGGCTGTTGCTGTCTACCAACCTTCTACCTAGCAGTTTGGAGGTTACCATATAATAATGTGATCTGTTCCTTCACTTGCAATTTTATGATCAGCACTACATTATTTAATGTTGTTGGAAGATGTTTTTCTTTCAACAAACCGGCTGTATCCCACTGAGGCAGGGTCGCCCAAAGGGAAAAATGAACGTTTTTCCCTTTTAAATTTAGTAATATATGTAGAAGTTGTTACTAGCCCCTTTGCTCCCAGCATTTTAGTTGCCTCTTATGACATGCATGGCTTAAGGAGGAGGAATTCTGTTCCACTCTCCCATGGAGAGTTGGAAGATTTATGAATTATATTTCATAGTTGTGTATAAGCCTAGAAATATTACTGTGAGGGAAGATATACCTGAGAATCTCAGTGTTAGCTCCAAGTAACATTCAGACCATATCTTTGAGAAAAGCACCAACATTGCATATTGCATGTGCCTGACCTGTATTCATTACAGAATCGAAGTATAGAAAAACATGAAAAGATAATTTCCAGTCCTTATTTCATTGTATAGTATATTGTGGTGCTTTAACAGCACACAAACGTCATACAGCATAAACTTCAAAATCAATGAGCATCTAGTAATATGCAATGTAGCTTCACAGTAGCACATTACATACACAAATCTTGTGTTTTTATCTTCTACTGACAACTCTTACTCACTGCCCCTCCATATAAGAACTTTCTTAATCCTTTACATTTGAAACAGTATGTTAATATTTGCAGAATTTTCCATGATTTTTAGCAGTAAAAAATGAGAAACATGACATGATTTTTAACAACAATAAGCAAAATATGATGCTCAAATTGTAAAAGAGCAATACAGTAAAGGAAAAACTTCAAATAATGGAGGTTTATTTTACAGTGGCAGATTGTTGTTATTAAACTCAGAGGGATATACCAAACCTTTAGGAATCACACAGCATGTAGGAAATGGGAAGTGATCAGGTTTGACTCAGAGAAGGAGAAGATAACATTGATACCTTCTTGATAGTGGTAAAATAGTAATGATGTGAATGCTCTTATGTTGACAGTGTCGCCATGTGAGACTGGTATCCTGGATAGACAACCAAGCCAGCAGATAAAACGTGGCTTGATGTTGATGTCTAAGATCCTTCAGAACATTGCTAACCATGTGGAGTTCAGCAAAGAGCAGCACATGCTTCCATTCAACGACTTTGTACGGCAACACTTTGAGGGGGCACGACGCTTCTTTATACAAATAGCAAGTGACTGTGAGAGTGTTGAACAAGCCAGCCACAGCATCTCCTTTATCAGTGATGCTAATGTTCATGCCTTACACAGACTACTTTGGAACCATCAGGAGAAAATAGGTAAGATTTTGGTGTGCACAGTGTCAATTTTAGTAAGATCTGACTGTGATAAGGACTTGAGTCCTGGAGGTGGGATATACAGTACCTGCACTCAAGAGGAGGGGTGAATATGTGGCTGTTTGAGGGTCATTTGACTTGTGATGTTCGTATACTTCTGGGAAGATGTCTGTTGAATGAGTGATGGTGAATGTTTCCTTTTATAGGTCACCCTGCAATGGTGGGAGATGGCTGATATTTAAAAAATAAAAATTAACCCCTTGAAGGTCCGTGCCGTAGTCCTATGGCTTTGAAACCAGGGTCAGTGCCATGGTACTACATCATGAGCTCAGCTCACTCAGATAAGCTGTGAGTGGTAAATTTGGGCCTAGATATGAGGGAATGGGTCTATGTGGTAGGTGTGTACAGGTCCTCCATCACAAATCCGGCATCATTGGGACCTGTAGTGTGCTGGATTACTGAGTTTGCCAGATTACAGAGTGGTTAGGTTAAAATACACTTAATAAAATTAACCAACTTGACTTACACAGTTCATTGAACATCGGCAAAAATCGAACATTTCCGCTACTTTGAGCTCAATTTCAAGGCACTTTTCATCATGAAAGCAATCAAAATCATGTCTATTTCTGTAATACATCTTCCATTCTATCAAATGAGTCCAAAAAAATGAGAATACAACCATAAAAACCATAGGAAAAAATACTGCAAAGAGGCGGCTAATGGCTGAAAAGTTAACTCCCTTATTTATCGTCCATCTTTTTTATTTTTGTTGTACGTTAAGAAGCATCTTTCCATCATACATTGCCCAAGTTTCAATGAGAGAGCCCAACAAACAACCGAGAAAAAAAAAATATTTACCAAAAATCATATATGGCAAGCCCAAGCCAGGTACTGGAAATAAGTCACATTGACTTTTCTGGGTTATCCTAGGTTCTCTATACATACGCTGCTATGTATGATAATCTATGTAACTGTATTTGTGTATAGTACCTGAATAAACTTATTTACTTCTAGTCTGTCAACTGAGTACAAGAAACCGCCCATTCACTTATTTCAACTACCCAATAAGTGGTCAGAAATTGGCAATTTGGCCGATTTCACACAAATTTCAACAGGTGCCAATTTCAAAATAAAGTCCAGAATAAACAAGGCAGACATTCCTGGCACTAAAATAACATTTTCTCTGTTCATTAGTCACAGCTACAGGCCCCTCTTATATTACTCTTGCTTTTCATTTGGAATTTTTATTCACAAAAAAATAGAAGATTTACTGTTATGCAGACTGCTGCATTATTGTAATAACTATAAATAATGTCAAGCCATTCTTGACTCCGTATTGGAATTTGGACTGGCAGGCGGACAGGTATTGGACGGTGATGTCATTTGTATACTCTTGAGCTTCGCTAAAGAATAGAACATTTTCGCTACTGTGAGCGCAATTTCAAGGTGCTTTTCGTCATGAAAGCAATCAAAATCATATCTATTTCTGTAATATATCTTTCATTCTGTCAAATGAGACTGAAAAAAATGAGAATATAACCATAACAACCATATAAAAATATACCGCTAAGCTGCCGCTGAGAAGTGAACTCCGCTATTTATGGTCTGATTTCTTTCAATTTTTGTGTACATGAAGTTAAAAGATAAAGAATCACACATAAAGTGGGAGTTGTCACAGCTGCTCTTTGCTGATGACACTGTACTCTTGGGAGATTCTGAAGAGAAGTTGCAGAGATTGGTGGATGAATTTGGTAGGGTGTGCAAAAGAAGAAAATTAAAAGTGAATACAGGATAGAGTAAGGTTATGAGGATAACGAAAAGATTAGGTGATGAAAGATTGGATATCAGATTGGAGGGAGAGAGTATGGAGGAGGTGAATGTATTCAGATATTTGGGAGTGGACGTGTCAGTGGATGGGTCTATGAAAGATGAGGTGAATCATAGAATTGATGAGGGGAAAAGGATGAGTGGTGCACTTAGGAGTCTGTGGAGACAAAGAACTTTGTCCTTGGAGGCAAAGAGGGGAATGTATAAGAGTATAGTTTTACCAATGCTCTTATATGGGTGTGAAGCATGGCTGATGAATGTTGCAGCGAGGAGTAGGCTGGAGGCAGTGGAGATGTCATGTCTGAGGGCAATGTGTGGTGTGAATATAATTCAGAGAATTCGTAGTTTGGAAGTTAGGAGGAGGTGCGGGATTACCAAAACTGTTGTCCAGAGGGCTGAGGAAGGGTTGTTGAGGTGGTTCGGACATGTAGAGAGAATGGAGCGAAACAGAATGACTTCAAGAGTGTATCAGTCTGTAGTGGAAGGAAGGCGGGGTAGGGGTCGGCCTAGGAAAGGTTGGAGGGAGGGGGTAAAGGAGGTTTTGTGTGCGAGGGGCTTGGACTTCCAGCAGGCATGCGTGAGTGTGTTTGATAGGAGTGAATGGAGACAAATGGTTTTTGATACTTGACGTGCTGTTGGAGTGTGAGCAAAGTAACATTTATGAAGGGATTCAGGGAAACCGGCAGGCCGAACTTGAGTCCTGGAGATGGGAAGTACAGTGCCTGCACTCTGAAAGAGGGGTGTTAATGTTGCAGTTTAAAAACTGTAGCGTAAAGCACCCTTCTGGCAAGACAGTGATGGAGTGAATGATGGTGAAAGTTTTTCTTTTTCGGGCCACCCTGCCTTGGTGGGAATCGGCCAGTGTGATAATAATAAAAACAAAAAAAATGAAGTATCTTTCCATCATACATTGTCCCTATCTTTATTTACTACACGTACATGTACAAGGTATACAGGCCTAGCTGACATCAGTGACGTACTACTGTATAGAAAGCCGCTTGTTATGCTGAGTATTTCAAGAAAATTGGGTCAGTGTCCCAGGATAACACCCACACTAGTCAGCTGACACCCAGGTACCCATTTACTGATGGGTAAACATAGACAACAGGTGTAAAGAAACATGCCTAATATTTCTACCCTGGCTAGGAATCAAATATTTACCAAAAATCATATATGGCTAACTCAAGCCAGGTACTAAAAATAAGCCATGTTGACTTTTTTTTGGGTTATCCTAGGTTCTCTACACATATGCTGCTATGTGTGATAATCTATAGAGAGAAAATAACTTTTTTGTTTCATGTTTATGGTGCAGTACGAGTGTATATCACAGTTAGCTCTGTGCTACACTCTGTTTTCTCTAATATAAGCCCCCAAGACAGGGATAGGAGAATGGTATTTGTATACCATATCCTCTTCATACCTCCGTCGAACTGCTCAGTGTTATGCCAAATATTATTCATTCTGGAGTATTTAACATGTTTTATGTTATTTATATTGTTTATTATGTCATATTAGATCAATTGTGATAGGCAAATAAGCTGTAGTGTTGATATTAGCATAATAATAAAGCATATTCTCCTGCTTCATGAGACTGAGCTCATGACAACCAACAGTGGCTTCCAAGCTGTACTGATAATGTACTGTGTCGGTGCTTTACATAATGAGAAGCATTTCTTTTATTCATTGGAACCATGGCTAGGGCTAAAAGTAAGCAGGTTAAAACAATAAATGGAGAAAAAGAAATTGGAATGACTTATGGAGCAAGTAACGCCACCAAACAGTACCAGCAGGTTGGTGTGGCGACCCTGGAAATTTGAAATTATGCTAGCCAAAATTAGTGCCGAATAACTGAAGGAACCGAATAACTGATTGCTGGATTTGTGATGGTGGACCTGTACCATATAAAAAAAATCTGCAGCACTCAGTGCATATTGCGAAAAAAAAAACCGCTACAGTGTTTTTGGATTAAAACAGCAACTTTGTGGTGTATTTTTGTATGGTTTTTATGGTTGTATTCACGATTTCATAGTCTCATTTTATAAAATGGAGAACATTACAGAAATAAAGATGATTTTGATTGGTTTTAGGAACGAAAATGGCTTGAAATTGAGCTCAAAATAGCGGAAATGTTAAATTTTTGCCGATGCTTAAGAGTAAACAAAACCCACCACGTATCCAATAAACATCAACTGGTGGGTCTGATGTGCATTCATGATTGCACTGATACTATTTATACAATTATTGCAATAATACGTAACAGAAAATTTTCTATTTTTTGGTGACTAAAAATTCTTTGTGTGAATAAAAAATCAAAATGGAATTTGTGTGTAAAGAGTGGAAATGTAACTAATGAACAGAGGAAATGTTATTTTAAGGCCAGGAATGCCTGCATTGTTTCTTTTGGACCCTATTTTGAAAATTAAATTTTTTGAAATTTGTGTGAAATTAGCCAAGTTACCAGTTTCTGATCATTTTATTGGATAGTTGAAATAGTTGATTGTGTGGTTTCTTGTGCTCATTTGATAAAATAGAAGGCATACTAGCGAAATAGCTAAGAATTTGGTTGACTGGAACAATGTAATTGGCCTAAAATAGGAGTCACAGTGGGCAAAATTGCTGGTGCATAAATATTGCTGACTCAGCAAAATTTGCAAAAGCATAATTTCATCAAATTTCCATCAAATTTCATACTTTTGGTTTTATTACCTTCAGAAAAAGATTCTCTACCATTTCATAAGAAAAAATAACTTTTTTTTTTTTTAAATTCTTGGACCCTGTAGACACTTTTCAGATTGGGGGTCTGGACCTTCAAGACCTTCAAGGGGTTAATAAGGTACATTAAAGTTACAAAGTAGGCAATCTGTGTATTTAATGAGAAAGAACCCTTAGATGTGCTTAGAATTTCAGGCAGTCTCAAACTGGACAGTATGTAATAATGTAGAACATGCTAGAATATATTATTATGTTATACTGTAAATGGAAACCAATGGTTTTTGGGATTTGATGTGCTGTTGGAGTGTGAGCAGGATAATATTTTGTGAAGGGATTCTGGGAAATTGGTTAGCTGTACTTGAGTCCTGGAGATGGAAGTACACTGCGTTCACTTTAAAGGACGGGTTTGGGATATTTGATGTTTGGAATGCCATCTGAACTGTCATATCTGCATGCCTTTGCAA